TGTCGTTTGAACACTCTTATATATATATATATATTATATATATATATAGGCACACACTTGCAAATTAGATAAAAGCAAACCGCGTGTGAAACTCAACATATTATATACGAAATAAAATTTCCTATTCCCTCAATTAAAATTAAAAATAACATGTCAACAAAATAATTTATCTTTCTTTTTTTGGCAGGAATTTCTCTCTCTCTCTTAGGCAGCGCTTAATTGTTATTTATTTATTTATTTATTTATTATTATTATTATTATTATTATTATTATTATTATTATTATTATTATTATTATTATTATTATTATTATTATTATTATTATTATTATTATTATTATTATTATTATTATTATTATTATTATTATTATTATTATTATTATTATTATTATTATTATTATTATTATTATTATTATTATTATTATTATTATTATTATTATTATTATTATTATTATTATTATTATTATTATTATTATTATTATTATTATTATTATTATTATTATTATTATTATTATTATTATTATTATTATTATTATTATTATTATTATTATTATTATTATTATTATTATTATTATTATTATTATTATTATTATTATTATTATTATTATTATTATTATTATTATTATTATTATTATTATTATTATTATTATTATTATTATTATTATTATTATTATTATTATTATTATTATTATTATTATTATTATTATTATTATTATTATTATTATTATTATTATTATTATTATTATTATTATTATTATTATTATTATTATTATTATTATTATTATTATTATTATTATTATTATTATTATTATTATTATTATTATTATTATTATTATTATTATTATTATTATTATTATTATTATTATTATTATTATTATTATTATTATTATTATTATTATTATTATTATTATTATTATTATTATTATTATTATTATTATTATTATTATTATTATTATTATTATTATTATTATTATTATTATTATTATTATTATTATTGACTTGTCATTTTTAATTAAGACAGGGAAAGAAAGAGACAGATGAAAGGAACAACTGAACAATTTTTATCATTTTTTTTAATTTGGAGTATTTATTTATTTATTTTACTTTTTATAAGAATCAAAGATTAATATCATAAATACTAAGATTCGAAATCGTATTTCTCAAATTTTTTTATAAACACTTACTTAAAAATGGAATCCTTGATTAAATACTTAAAATGTTTTATTATTTATTAGCATGTCATATATGTTAATGAAAAACTGATTTTAGTTCATATCGTAATTAATTACTTGTTTCTATTTTTAATAAGTCGATCTTGTTGTCATGAAGAACTAAAAGATAATTCTCTCTCTTCTATTAGTTAGTTATTTGGTTCACGTGCATGTCACTTTTTAATGGAAGATACATGAATGAATGGGGAAAAATAGTAAAATGGGACTCTATATATACATTTGATTCCATTATATAGAGAAATTCCTCTATTATATATACATACAACATTTAGTTTTAGAAATTATACAGATATCCAATGCATTAATTTATGGTCATAACACCAAGATTTGCAACCAATTGGCGAAAGTTAACAGCCTAATAAAGTATGATATTGGAAGAAATTAATCAAAGCTATTATTGTCATTTTTATTTGCATTTTGTTATGATTTATATTATTTTTATACAATATTTGTTCGTTTTTCTGTCTCTATCGTATCATTTATCTTATTTTACATTTCTCTCTCTCTTTTTCTGTCTCTTATTTTGTTGTAAACTGTACAGATATATAACTTTTCTCTTTATTTTTTTTTAATTTTCAACAGACATACTTTTGTTTAAAGTTACAAAATACATTACTTTTACTGTTTTTTTGTTTTTAAGATGTCATGAAGAAATAATGAAAATATTTTGTTTGTTATTTTCTGAGAAACAATAAACAAAAATGAATGGTTTACTAATTAATATTTTTGTCATTATTAATAAAATTATATAAACTGTAAGTAAAAAAACAAAAAGTAAACTGCAACAGGTAAACTTTCAAAAGTTATGATGTACGTTTGAGTCTGATCTGTTGATGAGATAATAGATCCTAGCTGCGCTGTAGATGAGGGACCAACTTAAACTTAGGCTCTTAAAATCATCCACTCAACTTATAGCAGGAAAAAGAGAGGGACCACAGGCAGTGAGATTTGCACACAGCACAATTTGGAGTGAGATTTGCACACAGCAAACTTGGAGTAGTTTGTATTCACACTATAACAACTAATTTGATTAGTTATCTAATTGTGCAACTTCTTTTTCAATATTAAGATTTTTTTTTTTCGTTCCTGGAGTATCCACCGCCGATAGCAGTGACTAATCTTCTCGCTACGTTGGAGGCACCTCAAAGAGTGAAATAGCTGATCCCAAGATTTAACGCGACTGCATACACAAGGCAGGATTCGAACCCCTGACCTTGCTTAAGCGCTGATCAACCCCTACCTTTTTGAATATTAAGATAAATATGTATATATGCTGATTAATCAATGTCTCATATAATACACCAAAAAAGATTATTTTCTTCTAATTGATTACTAATCGAAGTTTCATTCACCTATATATGAACTTTGCCTTGACCTTGCAGCTTAGAATTTGT